CCAATCATAAACGTCTGAATTGGACATTTAATAGGGAACATAATTATATCAACTATAAATGCGAGCGAGCGTAGCGAACAAGGTGGGGGGGGGGGGAATTAATTAAAGAAAAAGTTGCTCTAAGTCGCTCTATGGACACAGCGTAGGCCTACCGCTCATAATCTCCCTCTCTCTTTTTCTTTCTCTCTCCCTCTCTCTTCCCTCCTGTCCTATCCCCACCCCTATCAGCCTCTCTCGTTCTCTCTATTTCTTTTCTCCCCTCCCCTATTTATCCCTGTATCTCTCAGCATAACTATATCTCTCTCATCGTTTCGCAATCACAGAAAGCCGACCCAAAAGTGCACAATGTCACCAACAGCCTGAGCACTTTATTATTTAGCAAACTTTTATTCATCAAAATTGGTTTCAAAACGACACGCAACGTTGACATGTAACATCCGGTTCGAAAGCAGTGAATTTCTACTTTGACATAACATATGACACTTTTAGTTCAATGTGAATGAAACATGTGATATGACTGATAGGAACAAAAGGGAGCTAAAAGAATAAAAACACAGTTTCTTTTGGAAAGATAAAGAAAGTCAAAATACCACATGGTAGCTATCATTTAAAATGTTTAAAGTCACTTACGTTTTCTCTGATTTAAATTTGTAACATTACACTCTATTTTTTCTATGGCATATCAAAGTATCACATATGAACTGAGAAAAATTAAACAAAAATGACAAATACTTGCCTTAACAAAATGTAGAATATACATTTGCAATCATAATTAATGCATACATAATCATTTTATCATCACGAAAATTATCGTTCGTAATCATTTCTCTCTCACGTGCTTGAAAAAGCATTATCAGGATTACTAATCATATTTAATTGCAAGAAACTCTACCAACAACGTATCCCCAATATACAAGCAGATAGTATCTCTGAAGTCGCTTATTAGCTATAATACATGAACATGCTACTCAAGAAAACGTATGTGTCACTATATAGATAGCATTGTATGGAAGCCTCAAGAAACGTCATACATACTTGAGGCGAAGAACAAAATCTATATAAACAACTATATATAACACTATATACAAAATGTTGCACAAAAACGTGAGGTTTCACAATTCTTGAAACAATCATCAAAATATCATCATATACATTTTACACTTTCCTCCCATTTATTACAGCCATTTCAATTGTTAACGCTAAAACAAACAAACAAACAAACGTAAGCGTTAAACATTCGTCATTTAAATCACACATTTTGTCTAGGCTTATAGTCTCAATATTTAAATATTCTTTCTGTTGCTCAGTATGGCGATTTTTGACACATATTTCAAGTGAAGCATTGGTTTCAGATGTATGAAATGAATTTAATGAAAAATACCAATATTTACAACTATGGTAACATTATTATCACACCAAACTGCATTGTTATTTTGAACCAAACTATCACTCGTATATCTAAAATTTAAAAGACTCCATTGTTTCTGTTGGTATGATATTGTTTTCATCATCGACATTATGTCATTCTCAAACATTTCTGCAAGAAAAAAAAGGAGACGAATGTCTGTAATCGTGTAAAATATCAAATTATGTTGTGTATGGAAATCTGGAAACATGTATGCCAGGGTAACAACTAGTGTATGAATGTAACATGAACAATTACAGTATGTTCTCCTAGTAATTGGAATGATCATTGTAGCGACAATCACGAAAACAAAGGAATCTTCAAAAATCTCACGAAGAATACTGCATCATAATACTTACTCGTTAGTAATCGATACGGGCATACATGTCAGTGTGATAAGAACAACAACAACAACAGCAATTAAACAATCCGTGCATATAGACAAACAAAACCATTGAAAGGGGTTCTTCTTCGAAAAGGTTTGGCATGGATTCTCTCAGTATTCTGTAAAAGCATTTTCAGTAACATTATATAGGCTATGTACAAAATAATACTTTTAATTTATAAAAGATAACACTCATCTTCTGTACTAACTTGAACTGAACATTGAACTTTTAACTCTAAGATTTGATCCAACTAAACAACAGGTTAAGTGACTTTCTTGACTTGGTAAATAAAGTGAAAAACGAAAAGAAAAAACATTCTCAAATTAACTGTAAAATATTTTATACACAATCGTGTAAATATCAAACCAACATTGTATTTTTTTTAATCATATTTTGCTTTTTCCTATTTCTTCTACTTACTCATCTGCACATACAGGATATAAAATCAAGTATATACACACATGCACAAATACAAACTATGAATAACAATCTTCTTAACAGTTAAATCATGTTTGTAACAGAATGCATACAATTTCTCGACAATCATAAGTGTCCTATATAATAAAACTGTACGTGGAAAACAAAGGAGTCTTCGTAAGCTATTGAAGATCATAGGTTATTCTGTTCGTAACGGAACCAAATTGCAATTTCTTTTAGATCGGGGCTCCATGCACGTATGCTCAGTACAAACCAATATTTTAATATAATCAGTAGAGAAATTATCGTTTCCCTTCAATTCTTAAAGGTTACACTACATCATGTAATGTACATCATAATCAATATATACATACACATTATGCTAATAAAGAAAACATACACCCCATAATAGCTTACAGGAGTGGTATGCTCTGTATACAAATATTAACTGCGATATCATATTGTCAGTAAAATTACCAAAAGAGTCACTCAAGATTCTACAAAATCATGAAATACATTATTTGAGATAAAATGGAATGTGCCAAATTTCATGAACGACAAATAATTTTTGGTCATCAACTTAATCACAAGTTCATGGGAAAATGCTCTTTTTGTATTAACAAGAAAACACTGATGTGAATTAATATATAGAATGCTGCCCTTGTCGTGTTGAAGAAATTCAGTGAAATTCAATAACATACAGTTCCGTGTGCATACCTATATACATTGTACTTTGTATATAATTTAGTTGTAGTATCACAAAATATTCTGTAAATCCTAACTGTGAGCTAAAGACACATTATTTACAATCCATTTATTCCTCTCAGTACTGTTAAAGTAACAGTGTATACAAATATATGTTTGCGAAATATACAGAATAAAATCATATACTCTTGCATTCAGTAGCTGATTGGTGTATTCTCTTTCCTACGTGTAATTAAATTACTGTAAATACTTCAAGTTCAGAAAGTGTCAGCAAACAATGTTATTTCTGTAGTTGAGATTCAAATTCTGTACAAACGTGCGATATATATATATGAATTCATCTTCTTAAATACATCCATAATTCAGGAGCTGAATTATATATTCACTTTTCATCGTGCAATCAAAATAATGTAAATACTTCAAGTAAAAAAAGTGTCAGCAAACAATGTTTTTTCTGCAGTTGATATTCAACTTGTGTACAAGCATGCGATATATATATATATATGTATATATGAATTCACCTTCTAAATACATCATTATGATTTAGTAGTTGATTTTCATTAAGTAGTTCATTGATAAATTCACTTTTCTCCGTGCAATCCAAATAATGTAAATACTTCAAGTTAAAAAATGTGGCAGCAAGCAATGTTATTTCTGCAGTTGATATTACACTTCTGTACAAACCGTGTAATATTTATATACAACCAAATATATTGATATGAATTCACCTTCTAACATACATCATTATCAACGCGTCCATAAAATATCTTTGTCAGTATATTTTGACGCAATAAACAACAACAACAACAACAACATTCCTAAGTCTTGCAAAAAGTAAAATGTCTTTCAATATTATTTTAATGATTGAAAGTTATACATGAAGTTCATTTAACATATATAATTCAGGAGAATGAAGTACACCCCTCTATCTTGTCCAAACTCATCCATTTTAATAACATGATCTGGTAAGTTCCGTAAGAGCGAATTGCCATGGTAAAACTTTCGCATGAGTGAGGGGGAAACAAACGATTTTTTCTCTGTCGCAATTCGGCTCAAATCCTGCAATGTACAGTAACGGGTGTATATCACAGGTAGACTATTTACAGTTAATATTTTTGTCAATGTTGTTGTGTTGAAATAGTACAACCTTCAAGTGTTTAATGAATAATGCGAAATTCTTCTATACAAAGATGCACAATATGCTCTCTATAGATGAAAGGATTTGTGTCAATTAAGAATGATATATCAATAATATTACATTAGTGGCAGTATTCAGTACAAAATAGTATGTAATACTATGATATAATTATGAAATCTTGAAGATAATACAGTTAAGTCAATCCATTGTATTGTGGCGCCAATGGCTTCATTATATTCTGTTGATAGAATATTTTGACGCAATCAGAACAGGTATATAATATGTACAAGTCTCGCAAACGATTATGTACAAAAGTAAAACATTATTTACACAAAGTTCTCCATCGTATGACACTTAAATAAAAAAGTCATTCGTCGTTAGAACATTATCATATATCAATGGAACTTATGTATGTAAATAAGTCAGTGAGAATACAGTACAGTCATAACTACCATATATTGTTATATTCTATAATTGCTGTTAATATTACAAAACATAAATTCACAAAGATTAGGATGTATACAACAAATCTGTAAAATATAACACTTCTTCTACAGTAGAGCAACAACTAAGAAAATGTGTATCACAGAAAGGGTGTACACTTAATAACAGTTTTGGCAAAATATATTATAATCTATCATTAATTTTTATATTGAGGTATTCAGTATTGATTTTCTTTGTTTTAATGCTAAAAATACATATTATTCGACGACAAAAGTGCCAGTAATATTTACATTTTAGTTTGTTTGTTGTTTTGTTTGATATCATTAATATTATGAATATATTCCTTTTAATCATAGAATCGCAATTCAAAGCAAGAGAAACCACAATTTTCATTACACCAGTAGAAGATAGACATTTAAACTGAATAGCTATCATTAAATTTTCTCAGTGAGGGCCTAATAGATACGATTGTGCTGACATCACACATAAACTCAATAATATAAAATTTTTTTTACACTATACTTAATTACACCAGTATAAACATTTCACATAACATCAGTTAAATACCCGTCTAAAAAAGAGTGCCATCTGACTGTCGGAAAATAGAATACAACATTTATTTTGAGGGAAATAGTATTTCCATCTTTTGCAACAAGTCGATTCCGTACGGATGACATAACAAGACTATTTACGTTGCACGTTCAATGTTTATTTGTAATGACATTACAATATGCATCCGCTGCGTCAATCAAAATGTCTAGCAGGTAAAGTTATCGGTAATGTCTCTGTGATGTAGTGTGGGATAAATTTCCCATTTGTTCCAACACAAAATGATCAAAATTTCAATTAAAAAAAATAATGTATGACTCAGATGGGTCTATTCTTGATTAGATGTTATCCATAATATTTTTGAGTAGTGCCCCAAGGGAGAAGGCAATTAGGAGAAAAACAGGAATTAATGGAATTTTTGTACGCGACAAACGGGAGAGTCATCCGCAACTACGTCATAATCACAATTGTCACCAAACTGCTAATCATTTATTTCAAACTTTCGCCATTCTGTTTCTCTTATTTTTTTTTTTTTTTTATACAAATGAAGTTATCACAAGGGTTGGATCGCCCTGTAAATCAAACTTCAATGCATACGAATTAAAGTACTTCGTTTGAATGATACATTATAATGTATCATTATAGTGATCGAAATATGGCGACCAGAGTGAGAGGAAAAAAAGGGCCTGATAGCATCAGTAATCAATTCATAAATCAACCGAATTTACTATTTGTATGGTTTTGAGTCAAAAGTGATAATAATAAGCAAATTCGTGAATATAATCTGCGCAAAGACAGATGATGGTCAGACGAATATTGGATACGTGCTCATGAAAGTTATGTCATCATTATTCATGTATGCCCCGACAGTTCTAAGGAACACAGGTGGAAGCATTCTTCTCAAGAGGGCTGAGAGATGTACATCCATGACTTTGGCAGGGATAATTCTAAAGTGCACAAAGTGGGAGAGCCCCATGTGTAAAAGATCTGTGGATATTTGGGGTCAGGTGTATCATGGGCTAAGTACAAACTGGTTATTTTAGCGCGATTACAAATACTGTTACCGCTTTCATAAGTACAAATCTTCTCGCAAGAGTCACTAGAAGAATATGGACACTCACGTCTTGCTTCGATTTCACTATGCATGTACGTCGTGTATGTGAAAGCAGTGGAAACGAAAATGATAGTTGTGTATAATCTAGATACGTGTACTTCGAACCTAGTGTTCATGATCTGGACGGAACCAATGATGATTGAACCTCTGCAAGAATCTTACGGGTGAGCTGGATCATTTCTTCACATTTTACTCGATCTTTAAAGACCTCGTGAGGAATCTGTGAGGAGGCGCACCTATCCGGGTACCGAGCCCGTTGATCATCCACGAGAGAGCTGAGCTGGCATACGTTCTGGCGAAGTTCTGATGAGTTTAAGTGTTCACTAACGTCACGGGCTAGACCATCAATGCTATGGGTACAACTGTAACATCCTCTGATGGCAAGTTGAGCAGCTTTGAGGGCCTTTTCTACACTCTGGTGGCACTTGTATGCCACCCACTCTAGTGACGGCTCATCGTGTGGGTTAAGATCGTGTTTGGCAGCGCGGAGATCTTCTTGTCCCTGGCGTAGCCAACGGCGAGCATTGCGGATATCTGGTGATCTCGAAGCCTCAGTGAAGAAGCTCTTCCAGTAACCTGATCTAGAACCTCCTCTACCCCTTCCTCCTCCAAAACCAGAACCAGCTCCTGCCCAAAATCCTGATGCAAATCCTCCGAAGTGAGTATACCGTCGTCGGTCTTCCCTTGCTCTCTGCTCAGCTGATTTGAAAAGGTCTTCATACGATGAAGTTGTTTTTGAAAGACCCTTTTCTAGTCTTTGAAGTTCAATCTGGAGATGTTTGAATGCTTCGTCAAACAGTTCCTTCGGACCTTCTGGATGCTTGTCTGGATGCCATTTTAGCATCAATCGGCGGAGAGCCTTCCTTTTCTGCTCCTCTGGAAGCTGCCAGATTTCCTCCAATTCTGTAGTCACCTGTCGCTTTGCTTCTTCAACATCAGTCGGAAGAGATGATTCCCGATGACCAGAAAGACACGGTTCAGCATCATCTGAGTTTACTTTATCAGATGGAACAAGCTCCATACCTGATGTGGACTTCGGGATGTGAATTTTGTGCATGTCCAACACATTGGCTTCTATCGGGCTGTCCTTTCCAATGTCGATGAGATAAACTGACTTGAGCGACTCATTGCGTATCCTCTTGATCACTACTGCGTATATGTGGTAGTCACCGTCTTCATCGGTTTGTGCGTACCCTACATAATCGCCTGTGCTGAAAGACGTCCAGGGGTTCTGTTCTATGAGGTGGTAGAGTTGTTCTGGAATAGTACTTCCAGGTTTAGGCAACATGAAACTTGTGTCATCTTCCATTTTTTCTGCGGCAATGCCGAACTTTGCTAGTGCTTTCGGGATAGTAGCTGGAGATTCTTGAGATAGCAGGATAGCCATATTATATCTATCCTCAAACTCATTACCAAGGACTTGGTCGACATGGATTGCAACACTTAATAGTGTTTCCATTATATTTTTTCCTTCACTATGCTGAACAAACAGCTCATTACCACTGTTGATGAAGGAAGGTACTTCGGTTTCACTACCTTCTATGTATTGACCATTGATTTGCAGGATTGAATGTAACTGCTGCATACATGTAATCTTGAGTCCATTTAGGCGATCTCTAAACTGTTTCCTGGTCTCCTCGGCAACTTCTTCCCGCCTGTTGTGCCTCAGGATGGCGCAAAGCGCACTAAGAAACTCCTTAGAATGCAGGATTTGAAGTCTTCTTTCAAACTCACATGGATCGTTTCCAGTCAAGAAACACTTTTGCAAATCGTGACCAGTCTTGCTCAACATTTCTTTCACCTCTGTGCTTACTGCTTTCGGTTTCATACTTTCAGGAAGCAAGGAGATAGCTTCTCGCGCGATTCGTTCGTGACTTTGAAAGATCTTGACGAGTGGGAGATTAGATCTAAGAAGTCGATTTCTATAGTGTTCGACATCATTTACTAGAAGGCGATCTGATCGTTCCAAGCTTTGCTGACATGAGGGTAGATACAGTGAGTGTCCGGGAACAAAAGCAGCAGCTATCTGTGCAGGATTGGTCTTCATTAACTCTTCATAAAGGCCACACGTGGCCCTGTCTACCATGTTTACTACATTTGGGTTTGACCATGCACTCTGTCCCCTTTCGTAGAGGCTTTCAAGAACAAAAGCATATTGACCTATGGAAGGTTTCACTGTTCCGCCAAGAATTCGAAATACCTTGAAGAAAGGAACCCACTTGTCTGGCAGCTGGTAGAGAAAAGGCTCTAGATTTCCTTCCATCGTACGTGAGATCTGATCTGCTTTGACTAAGCGATGCTTATCCTCGAGCTCCAAAAAGACGATAGGAACGTTTCGCAACTCATCTCTGATGATATAGCACCTTTCACAGGGGTCTTTATGAGAGCAGTTTTGTCCTGCGCACTTGGAGGAAACGAATGTCAATATTTCCTGTAGTACACTAGCTAGACATGCAGGGAAAGATACCTTCTTGTCATTCTTCTGTTGGAGTCTGTTACATATATTCCGCAAATGCTGGATAACACTCATAAATTTAGGTTTCTGTGCGACGCCCATTTTCTCATCGAAAGGTATTCCACAAGAGAAGCATTTCCCAGAAGTTGTATATTTTGGCAGGACGCTGTTGGTTGACCATAACAGTCGTATGTGTTCGAAAGAACTTGATCCAGAATACCTCATGAGAGTTCCTTTCTTCATGAAGGGTGGATGAATATATTTCATCTCTTGGCTGATCCCATCACTCACAAGAAAGTCAACCATACCGACTCGCTGTAGGAAAGAAGAGTCTCTGTGAAGATCACATCTCCTTCTCAATTCAGATACAAGGGCAAGTGACTTCTGTTTCATCTCTTCGAGGTCAGAGTGTGATCCCTGCACCTGCTGGGCAAAGGAGAGGAATAATTCTCCAGTAATGACAACTTGTAGTCCTATTTCTCGAAGGAAAGCAAGGCCTAAACAATCTATGACGCGCTTTGGTGGAGACTGGACCTTGTTCAACATTCGATAAAATAGCTCGACATGTGGGTCATAGAAGTCCTTGGCCTTCAGCAATTCCCCATTTTCACCGGTTATGAAACGCAGGTGACGTAATCTTAATCTCCGAATAGCTTCCTTCCTAGTTTCACTAAAGGACCTCTCTGTGTTATGAATAGGTAGCTCTTGTAGTAGTTGTTTGATCCGCACAAGATGTTCAAGACGGCTGTCCTCGCTGAGTTGGTCAAAGATCGGCAGAATGTACTGTACATACACGTCAATCTCTGTTGTATCCGTCAATCCTAGCTTCATGTATAGAGATTTAAGAGCTTTGTTGTACTGTAGGAATATAGCGCCAGTGGTACTAACCCATTTACCTTGTTCCTTTTTTGGAATCTTACTTGGGAGGACAAGAACTGTGTCGAATTCTCTGATACTGACAAAGTCACCTGCAATCGATTTGAAGCAAGGCAGGCTCTTCAACCTCTTGAGATCAGCTTGGCTCTCACATTTACTGAAGAATCTCAGGATTTCTTCATGCTGATCAACTTTGAGGTTTCCAAATCTCTCGAGGTCTCTATCAGCCCAGTACATCAAAACATCTAAGACCCTCGTGATATCGCCCTTGTGCGTGACGAGATGCTGTATTAAGCTATTGTCTTCGTTAAGAATGGATTCTTCGACCTTGTAGACGTTTAGTGATTCAAGTGCGGAGTATATTGGCCAACATCTCTTTTCCGACTCGGTTGGTTGGACTATTATTGTAGAGGATAAACTGATAGGTGCCGCTAGCTTAGTTTCCTGCCGACATCTTTTTGCTTCTGTGACAGGTAATATCGCCCAACGGCCAAGTTCACCTCTGATATCGCAGGCAACCTCAGTCAACCTTTTCGTCTCTGTGCATAAGGATCCAAGAAGACTCCACAAACGTTCAAACCATTCAGATGAAAGGTTGTTCTGGAGCGTTATTATTTCATCTGAAGCACACTCGAGATAAGGGTGGCAATCATCAAGAAGCGCAGAAACTGCTCTCACATCAAGCTTACAAAAGACATCGGCATTTCGTGGTAGAGTGTCTAGAAAGTTGATATGTAGAAACCTATGACTCTGAGGCAAGAAAAGATCGTAGAATTCTGATGCAAAGACTCGCTCATCACGTGATAACTTCCGCAAGTTCCCATCCTGAGTGAAGAGCAATGGTAGTCCGTGAAGATTCTTATTGAAGTTAGATTGTGTTCCCTTCTTGCAGTAATTAATGAGTCCCTTCAGTCTCCCCTCGTCGTGGATCCTTGATTTTGAAAGTGACATTGGTAATTGCCTCTGAAGGGGGTTGTCTCCGCGAAGGAAAGACACCACATTTGAAGATAAAACTTCAAGAACTTCATAGTTTACTGATTCATGGGTCATGCCTTCCTGATTGAGATGCTTGCATGCATTTCGGAGACAGTGCATTACCCATGTTGGAGACTCTAGTAATGGAAATGTGATTTCAATCAGTGTCTCCTTCAGTTTTTTCACATTTTCTTGATTCTCAGCCTTCAAGTAGCTAAGTAATCTGAAGTTGTCACTCATGTGGTTTGGCAGTGTGTTGAAATATCCCACCTTTGATTCGTCTGGAGACTGCATGTGCACGACAGGGGTCTTCCATGTTAGGAAAAAGTCGCTATTGCCATCATCTCTTCTGTATAGAGAAGGAAATAGCATCAGGGCTTTCGAGGCAACAACTTCGTATACGGTGGCTTCAAGCGCTTTCCAGTACGGCCCTTTGTCACTGTTGTTAGGAAAGAAAGTGTGGTATTTCTGAAGGAGTTTCAAAGTGAGAGCTTTCTGTTCACATGACATCGATCCTGACCATTCATATTCCCTGACAAAGAATTTCTTTATCCACAACAGCAAATTTACATAAGCCGGTGCAATAACATTCTGGATGACGTGAAAATTCCACTTTGTTTGTTCATCTGTTTTGCTACCTACCCACAAGTGTCTTCTACTCTCATGGTCTAAGGCGAAGTATCCGTGTACGTGAACTGGAAGTCCCGTTGCAATGGGAAGCGGTAAGAAGCAGAAAGCCGTTCCTCTGAGTTCCTCTTTTTTACCTGTCAGACGGGCAGCAACAGCCCCCACTGGAAGTAGTTTACGTTTTCGCATTATGTTTTCTTCAGCCGTGTCTGTACTTCCTACTTGCTGACATATCACCCAATCCTCATCTCTTCCTGTCCCTTTCAATTTCATCTGGTATATGACTCCTGCTGGTTCTGGTTGCCAGGAGCCATCCTGTTCTGCGCTACTGATATCTTGAACTTTGCGCAAGAAATCCATTTTCTTTTCACCTTCCACTTCAGTTATCTCTGCTGTGATAGCATGAGTAGAGCCAATCGCTCCTGAGCTTGTTACCTCTGAGATGCTGATTTTAGTGATGTTTTTCAGAAACAAAAGACTCTCGAATGCAACATCCTCAAAGTCTTGTAGTAGCTTCCGAATCTGTTCAGCTCGCCATACGTTTGTGCTGAGTGTTGAAGCTTCCTCCCGCAATGGAAAACGAAAAACAGTAAAGTCCTCTTCCCCATCTGCAAGTATCTCTTCCAAGTAACACTGAAAGATATCTGGGAACGAAGAACGCACACTGTCATTAACTTTATCTGAAGGCCCGGCTTAATCGGTGTTGCTCCCGGAATATATTTCAGCAGAGGGTCAAACATGCATAATCGTTCACCTTTGGAGATGAAACTTGGGCAATCCGTAAGTTGATACACCGCATTGAAACCGACCCCATAACGGCCTATCTTTTCCATATCATCAGCTTTGCTACCTTCTCCAAGATTCTGTATCCCACGAATATCTTCATCTGTAAAAGACTTGTTGTTGAAGACACAAAGAGCTGGACCCTGCAAAGCTTTCATGCCATCTCCTAGAAGTTTCTTTCCATAATGTGAGCGAGGATCGTAGACAAAGTGGATTTGAGTTGCTCCAGCATCGTCTGCGTTTTGAAGAAGTTCTTTCAGAATTGTTTCATCAGACGGGTATGATTCAAGAATCCGCTTGATACGGGTTGTAAGTTTCTCATGTTGGCCAAACTCTTCCCCTGGGAAACCCATATCGTATGACCGGAGCATCTGTTGTCGAACATCCTTCACTTTAAGCTTTTTTGCAAGCATGAAACTGATTTTCAAGTGACACTTACGGAGTTTGACTTCGTCGTATTCAAACCAGTCAACGTCACTGTAGCAGATATCTGATACAGGCCTCATGCACTTGTGCTCATCTGGGAGAAATGCATCGGAAGACCGTCTCTCATCATCATCATCTTTGAGGAAACTAGCAAATCGATCGGCAGCTAGGATAGCAACCTCCAAGACCCCATCATCTAGAGGTTTCCCACTGCTATCCTCGTATATAGATTGAAGAACACCTTGATAGTCTGCGGCATCAAATTCCCTCTTCAATGCTGCACGTTCCAGAAGAATGGGATATTGTTTCAGGAACTGGGGAGCTTTATACAGATACGGTGGAAGATCTCTACCTCCATCTGCAACCATAGAGGCCACTACAAACTTGCGATCTACAAGGAAGAATGATTGATTCTGAAAATCTTCGTTGGAGATGTATGGACTATTTTCTTTACAAGCAATTTCAACACGCTCGTAGACCGCCTCGCATATCATTTGTAATCGATGATCAGAAATGGAGCCATTATTCAATTCGTAGTGACTACGAAAGTTCGAGAACTGCCTGAGTACATCTTGGACGGAGGGGTATTTATCTGCAAGACCAAGAGATTGCTCGACTATGTAGGGAAGCTGCCACTCTTTTGATTTATCCACAACGTTTGACGTGCTGCTTACCAAATATGTTTTAGAATGAGAGTACACATCGCTAGCAGATGCATAAGCACAAGAGTCCGTTTCCACCCACGGTAGAGCTGGATCTCTGTTTCCCTCACACAAGATAGGCAAGAATGGTATACTGGCCAGCCGTTCTTTGAGGTTTTTCTTCCTATTCCATTCACTCCTCAACATCTCCGACAGATACTTCAGTACAGCATGGCATCTCGTTTGAGCTCCTTCCATACAGCTTGAATGCAGAATGTGAACAGTCTCGCATCGCTCGACGAAAATATCCTCATGAAGACAGTCTTTCACCATTCCTAGCTTAGTTAGTGACGTCAACGTGTTGGTGGCATTGAATTTTTCTCCTATAGGGAAAACCTTATCAGACTCCGAGTACAAAGGCGCAACTTTGCCTTTCGGGTGTACTAGATCACAAGGTTTCCGCAGTTCAGTTCCTCCCTGTACTGGTATGCATTCCACATCTTTTAGTTTCTGCTGCAGTGTGTCTTCACTGGTATTGAGTGCAAACAGAACCAGTTGGTTTCTGATGTTGTCCGGCACCTGACTGATTTGTGGTAGAAAAACTTCATCGAAGAACCTGTTGAAATCATAGGTCCTCTTGAGAACTTCATTTATCAGCTGTACTCTTCTTAGGGCTCTCCAAGTTTTCTCGGTCAATGACATCACTTCCATTGAGGGGAGATGGTCGCGTAGTACCTTTGTTACCACATCACTGACAGATGTCTCCTTTTGAACTTCTTTACTAAGGAACACAACATTCGTGAACTGATGCGATTTGCCATCTTTCCAGAACAATGATGGTTCACGACCATCCAACCCATGTACCATTGCCTTGTAGAAAGCATCAAACAGTGCTGAACATTCTGAATTATTTGGCACGTCATCAATATCTGGCCACAACTCCTCAGGAGACATATCCGAGCCGTATGTGTCCTTCACTTGTTGAATAAACTCACTGTCAGACAAGAGTGAAACGTACGCTCTGCATATCACATCTGCCAGAATAATGTGATTCCATTTCTCAGATATCAACCTTCCATCGGGCACTGGCATGTGAAGACTCCGCCGGTCCTCTTTTACAGCAAAAGATCCGTTGATATGCACTGGGAGCATACTGTTAATTGAGAGGGGAAGGAAGCAGTAGATCTTCTTCTCAAATGCAGACATTGGTGGTCTATGAAACGGAAAGGCAACCGCACCTTCTGGTGAAAGTCCACACTCCCTGCCATCTGGAGATTTTGCAAGAGATGCTGCCAGTTCTGAAGTCTTGCATATCACTTTGACAGTGTCCAGGTCTCCACTAACTTCTGGTTTCTGTGACATCACTTCATTTCCCTTTGAAGTCATTGTGCAGCGGAATGATTCAGTTGACACAATGGTATCGTCATCCTTCACCCTAGGAGAGTGCATGGTCTTCTGTATGGTGAGTAACTCCTCAGCACTGGTAGGATCGCTAGAATTCTCAGAAAGGTAGAACAGGGAAACCTTCTTTACCTGTTTGGTGAAAACCAGGAGGTTTTGTGATGATTCCCACATTTTCTGCATCAGGTTGATCATTTTCTCCCCATCGTAGCTCTCCTTGCATATTTGGCTTTTCTGTGCAGCTTCTTTAGAACGGAGGGGCAGTCTAAAGAGTGTTCCGTTGTAGTTGAATGGTTCATTTCCTCCACTGAAATCGAGCCCGAACACTCCATTAAATGGCTTGAACTGATCTGGGAATCTCCGGAGTTGTTTGGAGCTATTCAATCTGAGACGTACACCGGGTTGACTCTTGTTCGGGAGAACGTTTCCAAGGTGTGTGGTATGAGGGTCGAAAAACTGCATATAGTTCCTACTAACCAAACTTGGAACATCAGTTATGCGGTACACCGAGTTGAAACCGGTCCCGAACTTCCCGATCTTTTCAGCGTCCTTTTCCTTGGTACGCCCTCCAAGACGGAGAATGTTTTCAAAGTCTTGGTCTGTGAATACGGCATCGTTGTATACCCAAAGGGCTGGTCCCTGACAAGACTTCATTCCCGGATCGAACAATCTTTTGGTTTCTTTCTCGTTTCTTCTCATGTCAATGAGAAAGCGAACTTCCTGAGCTCCTGCATCTTCCGCATTCTGTATCATTTCACTAACGATGGCGGTGTCCACATAGTTGTTCTTGAGAATATTCCACAAGCGCATAGTCAGGGGTTCATGCTGCCCAGCTGGTGTGAAACCCTGCAATTCTTCTGTATCTAGGAGAAGTCGACTGACAGGTCGTACGTGGAGGAATATTGCAAGTTCCATCGAGATATCTGAATGAATCAAAGTAAAGTCTTCATCGTCATCCATCTCCTCATTGTCGGTGCTTTGTCTCAACCAGTCTCTGTCCACGTATGCGCTCTCATCAACTGGAATGAGATGACATTTTCCTCTTTGCGATGGAACAAGTAAGCGTACCCGAGCTTCTTTTGAAAGCTCTCCTGTGGCATGTAGATGGTGAAGGATTTGCAGTACAAGTTGGCGCTGTTTTTGTTGGAAGATTACATTTGCTGCTAGGACGTCACAATTGCTCTTGATTTTATGTAGTATTTCAACCAGAGCTTCCGAATTAGTGTCGATGTTCCTTTTGACCCCAAGCGCCTCAAACAGATCTTTAAACGCACAAGTAGCCTGGGGAATAGATGCCATGTAAGGAGCTAGATCGAACGGGAGATTACCTGTACACATTTTGCTTGGTTCCGAAAAGCCGTTGCCATTCCACACACAACACTTTACTCGATCCAATATATAGTTTCTGACGTTGGAATCACGTTGCCATTCTTTCCTCAGAAATGCATAGATCTCCTTGAGCATCGGTATTATGTCTGTTACATCTTGTTCTGTTCTGTATGTGGCATACTTCACACAATGTTCTATTTGTGCTATGACGTCCGAGATCACTGGAGAGTGGCATGTTATTCCAAGCAGAGTGAATGCTGTGGAAAACAGAACATCTTGTTGAGAAATAAAAGACTTGGAAGCTCCAGACATTAGCACTGCTTGTTTCGTTTCTATCAAAATCTCTTGGGGAGTTGTGAGACAGGATTGAGTGCTCCCACGCCATTCGAAATCTGGGGGGTAATATTCTGGCGGAGACTGTTTACAAGGGATACATCCTTTGTTCATCATGAAATCTCTTACAGTGCTGCCGTCGGCCAGTGAACGGTCAAAATGACCAGGGTTCTTTCCGATGAGATCGAGTAAAGCTCTGGCCTTCTTGGGGCACTGAGTTTTCTCAACAAGATCAACACATGCAACCATCTCAACTGGAGTAACTTCATTCGGTCCTCGCATACCAAGGCGGTTGAATACCGGCGTCAGATGAGCTGAATCAAATGGTGCACCTGGAAATACTCCCTGAAGCTCAAACAATTCACGGAGTGTAGGGTCATCTTGATGCATGAGGGCGCAGGATGTCTTTAGTTCGGCTCCTCCTAAGACGGTGATGCATTTCACATCTCGAAGTTTTTGATGC